GCACACGAGACTGTCCTCTGGCACCACCGCCATGGTCACCCGTCTGTGCAGCGGCTTCGTGCCATGCACTCCCGGTACCTTGTCTCTGGCCTTCCCAGGGTCCTTCCTCCCCTCCCTCCCTCACCTGCTCCTACCTGTCTTCCCTGTGTCGAGGGGCGGCAGCGCGCCGCTCCTCACTCCTCGTTTCCCCCGACCACTGCTCCCTTGCAGACGCTCCACATGGACGTGTGGGGCCCAGCCCGCGTCCGTAGTCAGGGTCAGGAGAGGTACTTCCTGATAGTTGTTGACGACTACTCGCGCTACACCACGGTTTTCCCCTTGCACACCAAGGGTGAGGTCCCTGATGTCTTGATCCCTTGGATCCGCAGAGCCCGTCTCCAGCGCAGCGAGCGTTTCCACTCGGACTTTCCTGTCTTGCGCTTGCACTCTGACAGAGGTGGTGAGTTCTCCTCCAACCTCATGGCAGCCTACTGTGCTGAGCACGGCATTCAGCAGTCGTTCACGCTTCCGGCCTCTCCACAGCAGAATGGGATTGCGGAGCGCCGCATTGGCCTGGTCATGGAGGTCGCCCGTACCTCCTTGATCCATGCGGCTGCCCCCCACTTTCTGTGGCCGTTTGCGGTTCGGTACGCTGCGCATCAGCTCAACCTCTGGCCCCGTGTCTCCTTGCCGGAGACCTCGCCCACACTGCTGTGGACGGGGGAGGTTGGCGATGCGTCGCGTTTCCGGGTCTGGGGATCTCGAGCTTTTGTTCGCGATACGTCTGCGGACAAGCTCTCCTCCCGTGCTATTCCCTGCGTCTTCCTCGGCTTTGTCCCGGACGCGCCTGGTTGGCAGTTTTACCACGCCACCTCGCGCCGAGTCTTGCCCTCTCAGGACGTCACGTTTGACGAGTCCGTCCCCTACTACCGCCTCTTCCCCTACCGCACTGCCCCGCTCCCCCCCCCGCCTCTCTTCCTCGTGCCAGGTGCTGTTGTCGTCTACCCCCTCCCCCCTCAAGGTGCCCCTCTCTCAGGTGTGTCTCACGTAGACCCGGTTGAGCCTATTGAGGTAGCTGTCGACTCTCGTCCTGTTGGGGGTGCGGAGTCTGGGGGTGCGGAGCCTGGGGGTGCTGAGCCTGGGGGTGCGGAGCCTGGGGGTGCGGAGCCTGGGGGTGCGGAGCCTGGGGGTGCTGAGCCAGGGGGTGCTGAGCCTGGGGGTGCTGAGTCGCAGAGTCCGCCGTCTGGGGGTTCTGAGTCTAGAGGTACTGAGCCTGGGAGTTCTACACCTGGAGGAGCCCTCTCCTCAGAGCAGCTGCATGAGTGGTACTTACACTACTGCAGCCTCAGGAGAGGTACCTCTGGAGCCAGGCGTACTACTGGGACTGGTGCTAGTGCTTCTCCTCCTAGACGGGAGCTCCCCTCCCGTGAGCGGATCCGTGAGTGGTACGCGCGGCGCTGCACTCTTCGGAGTGGCGCGCCTCGTGCCGCGGACCCCGCTGCTGCTGGTGGTGCTGCTGGTGCTGGAGGCTCTACTGGTGCTGCTGGTGATGCGGCCCCAGAGGTTGGAGCTGCTTCTGGTACTGCGGACCCGGGCGTTGGAGCTACGGCTAGTCGTGCGGACCCGGACGCTGGTGCTCCTTCTGGTGCTGAGGACCCGGGCATTGCAGCTTCTGCTGGTGCTGAGGACCCGGGCGTTGGAGTTGCAGCTGGTGCTGAGGACCCGGACGCTGGTGCTGCTGCTGGTGCTAAGGACCCGGGCGTTGGAGCTGCTGCTGGTGCTGAGGACCCGGGAGTTGGAGCTGCTGCTGTTGCTGAGGACCCTGGCGCTGGTGTCTCTGCTGGTTCTGGAGTCGCTGCACTATCGCGGCCGTACTTCGTTCCGCTCCTTCAGCAGGTTCTTGGTCAGCTCCCTCCTCCTTGTCCTCCTCCCTCCTTAGGGTGTCCTCCGTCTGTCCAGCTGCAGTCGCAGCTACCGTCTGCCTCCTCTCTCCCTGGTCCTGCTCCTTACACTGGTTCGACTGGAGGTCTTACTGAGCGTCGTGAGCCTGAGTCTCGTCCTGCGTCGCCTGAGTCTCGTCGTGCGTCACCTGTCCGTGCTGCTCTCACTGGTAGTCGTGTCCCGCATCAGGCACTCACCGGATGGCGCTTCGTCCCTCCACTGCTCCACAGCGTGTCCCACTGCCGTCTCCTCCTGCGTCCTCTCTTCCTGCGCTGACCCGGGGTCAGAATCCCTTCGTGCTGCCAGTCCTACTATCACGCGTCTCCTGGCTACTGTTGTCACTGACCCTTCCTTTGAGTCCGCTGCTGCGTCTGCCCTAGTTGCTGAGCTTGTCGACTTTGCTGCCGCCTGTCGTCTCGACTACGCCGCTAGCCTAGTTGCCGAGTCTGAGTCTGTCTGTCCTCCGTCCGTCGGGGGTGAGTGTGCTCTTGGCACTGACATCCTTGAGGACAGGCAGGAGGAGTTTCAGTGCTTTGCTGCTGCTTTGCCCCATCTCGTGTCCATGCTTGTTGCCTCTGAGGGAGACCCGGATGCACCAGACATCCCGACCCCACGCTCTTACGCAGAGGCGATGGCCGGTCCCTACTCCTCTCAGCGGCAGTCAGCCATGGACACAGAGATGGCTTCCTGGAAGTCCACAGGCACATACGTCGACGAGGTTCCCCCACCTGGGGCGAACATCGTCAGTGGCATGTGGATCTTCAGGGTGAAGCGGCCGCCGAGCTCTCCGCCTGTCTTCAAGGCGCGTTACGTTGCACGAGCCTTCAATCAGCGAGAGGGAGTTGACTTCTTCCAGACCTTATCCCCGACCCCGAAGATGACCACTCTTCGGGTTCTGCTGCACGTCGCCGCTCAGCGTGACTACGAGCTCCACTCTCTTGACTTCAGCACTGCTTTCCTACAGGGCAACCTACACGAGGAGATCTGGCTGCGCCGCCCACCTGGCTTCACTGGGTTGTTCCCTCCTGGTACCCAGTGGAGCCTCCGACCGCCAGTCTACGGTCTTCGCCAGGCGCCACGTGAGTGGCACGACACATTGAGGACTACACTTGCGGCTCTTGGGTTCGCGCCTTCTACTGCTGACCCGTCGCTGTTTCTACGCACCGACACCTCACTGCCGCCATTGTACATCCTCGTGTACGTCGACGACTTGGTCTTTGCCACTGCTGACACTGCTGCACTCGCCCACATGAAGTCGGAGCTGCAGAAGAGACACACGTGCACAGACCTGGGTGAACTGACAAGCTATCGTGGCTTGCGGATCACCCGGGACAGAGCACGCCGCACCATCACCTTGACTCAGTCACACATGGTGCAACAGGTCCTTCAGCGCTTCCGCTTCACGTACTCCTCGCCTCAGCCTACTCCTCTGCCTACCGATCACTCGCTCTCAGCTCTGCCTTCGGATGAGTCCGTAGAGCCAAGTGGCCTGTATCAAGAGCTTGTGGGTTGCCTCATGTACCTGATGACCTGCACTCGACCTGACCTTGCATACCCTCTTAGCAGTTCTTGCACGCTATGTCGCTCCCGGCCGTCACCGGAAGGAGCACATGGATGCAGCTAAGAGGGTGTTGCGCTACTTGTGCAGTACGTCGGGCATGGGGCTAGTGCTTGGAGGGCGAGACCCAGTTGTTCTCACTGGGCACTCAGACGCTTCTTGGGCAGACGACCAGGCTACTCAGCGGTCGTCTCAGGGTTACACCTTCAGTCTTGGCTCTTGTTCAGTTTCTTGGCGTTCTACTCGCTCTTCTTCTGTTCTCAGCTCCAGTTGTGAGGCTGAGATCTACGCCACAGCCATGGCGGCCCAGGAGCTACGCTGGCTCACCTACTTGCTGACCGACCTTGGAGGGCGGCCTCGTTCTCCTCCAGTGCTGTACGTCGACAACAAGGCAGCCATTGCCTTGTGTCATGAGTATAGATTGGAGCACAGAACGAAGCACATTGCTCTGCGCTACTTCCTTGCTCGAGAGCTGCAGCAGCGTGGTCAGCTGCATCTGCCTTACGTGGCCTATGAGGCCAACACTGCTGATGTGTTCACCAAGGCGCTTCAGCCTTGTGACCATCAGCGCTTTTGCACTCTTCTGGGCCTTGTGCCTACTGGACCTCACTTGCTTACTTCTTGAGTCTGTTTGTACTGTGATCTCTATATATATATATACCTGCATGTTTTCTATTGCTAGGTTGTGATCATTGTACCTCTTGCTCTATTATAAACGTGCATGTGAACTGGTCTTGTGACCACTTGCTTGTGCTCGGAATTTGTGTGGTATCCTTGAGATCCACCTTGAGCTTGTTTTGCCTTGCTTTGCCCTGACTGGTCTTGTGACCCCTAGTTCTCCTCCACTTCGCCTATGGGGGTGTGTCAAACATTATATATGTTGTGCTTGTTTAGGCTACAGTGGGTTAGCCTATAGGGGGTACACAATTCTAGGGTTAGGTACTTGTACTGATTTCACTGTTAGTTCAATCATTCCTGTTCGTTTATTCCAACACGCGTGGGTCTACGGACCGTTTTTCCTCGAAACCCTTCCCCCTAGCGCGACTCAATACCTTCGCGTCCAGTCAGAATGAGCTGTCATGGGGTCAATCTGACTCATTCTGACCGTGTGTGTTGGCAGGGAATCAGCCACTGCCAATTCACGCGAAATTCACTTTCAATGCCCTCTACAATATCGATTCGATTCAAATCGCAAGGACGAGATGAACCAGCTAGTGTATAAAAAACCAGATTTCATATGTGTCATTATATAAGCCCCGGCGCTTATTAAAATCCTCAAATATAAGCGCACCCCCTAAAAAACAGTGTTTTTTTATACCCCCAGGGACGCTTCTATCCAGGGGCTGACTGTAGTATGGTTTTAGCAAAGGCCAAACAGACTCGGAGCATATATATAAACAAGCCTTCAAGCCCTCTCATCCGTAATCCTTCTATTGTAGTCTCTGTATTCTCCTCAATCTGCTACAACCCATGAGGTACTACGCACCCTTATCCTCCCCCCTCCCTTCCCCTACCCTCCCCTTCACTCTTCCTTCCTGCCCTCTTTCCAGCTTTCCTTACGAATGCTTTGACGCCTGTGCCTGGCACTGTCCTTGCACCTGACCATGCAACTGACCTCACCAATCGTCTTTCCACTGTCCCATCTTTCCTTACCACCTCTCTGACCACTACCCTCACAGCCACTCTCCTTGCCGATTTTCATGCAGCCATCCTTGCTCCCATACGTCCCACTCCTCTTGCCGCTGGTCCTGCCGGGGCATGTGAGCTTGTGGAAAGGCCAGTGCGCCTTTTGGCACTCTCTGCTGCAATACACCACCTTGCCACACCCACCGCACCTCCTCAGATTCACACCACCACCCTCTACCGTCCCACATCCCGCAGCACCGCACACACGGCCTTGGACATCCGAAGCAGCAGCAGCAGCAGCAGCAGCAGCAGCAGCACTGATGCTTATTGAGGTGGGGGTGGAAGGGGCAGGAGGACGAGAAGCCATAGCAGCAGCAGAATGGGTGGTAGCAGGGGCGGACGGAGCACCAGGGGAGGCAGGGCGGTAGCATGGCTCCCCCAGCAGCATCTCTCGCAGACATGCCACCAGATTGACTCCCCCAGGCCATGCCTTCAGATGAGCCGGCTCCTCCCCCTGCTTGCCCTTCCCACTCCGAACGCTTCTGCTGCTGCTGCTGCTGCCGGCGGCAGTGCTGCTCTCCCTGGAAAATCCATGCTGCCCCGGCAGCCCCTCACAGTACCTCGGTGCAATAGCTGCCTCAAGAACCCACGTAATGTCACATTCCTCTGCCATTCTTTCCCAATACCTGCCTCTACACTCCTCAACCTCTCCCTCGCTCCCCACGTTGAACCTCCATGCAGCCATTGCTACGGAATACCACATCCGCACCTCCTCCCACACCTCTCCACCGTTCTCCTGATCCGTCTCACCAACCCAGCGGCCTTGCACCTTAACCTTCTCCGCCCGCCCGCTCCCACTATACCCTTTCTTGAACGCATCAGTGCCCAAAAGATAATGAGAGAATGCTGCTGCCATGTGAATGAGAAAGAAGAGCGGCACCTGCTCCGCCCGCCTGAGAATCATATGCAGGTTCAACGGCCTGGGGAGGCGCCCAGGAAGCTCTAGACACTCAACAACCTCATCAAAGCCAGGGGAGGATGGCGGGAAGACCGAGAGCACGCGGGAAAACAGATGGCTGACGGGGCGGTACGCAAAGCTGGCGATGAGAGCAGTGATGCACATGAATTGCATGTACCGTGTGGTGCAGGTGCTGCACTGGGTGCATGCAGGAGGTTCCATGAGATACCCAGCAAACCCCACCAGGAAGTCCACATCTGCCAGGCAGCGAACGATGGGAAGCTTCCTTCTGGGCGGCGGTAGTGTTGTTGCTCTCAGCTCAGCGGTTCAGTGTGCTTCGGCTCTTTCACGCGCTGTCCTCTGCATGAATTTCTCCCACATTCCTTGCGCTTTTGCCTTGGAGACACTTGCACTCCTGCTGCCCCCTCCTGCTTTAGCTATCCCACGCGGTAAGCTCCCTTCAGCTTCCTGGCTACCTCCTTGGCCTTCTGCATTAGACCCTTTTTCCTTTGCACGCCTGCTGCCCGCTACTGCTTCAGAAATGCGATTAGGAGGGTCCTGAGTCAGCTTCTCAGCTGCTTCATCACGCTCCTCCCCTATCCCAAGCCCAAAACACCTCTCCTTTCGGTTGGCAGGAAACTTCACAGCAGCTTCGTCGCCCTGAGACCACTCCTCCCACTCCATAGCAACGCTGCTTTCTTCCAAAGGCTTGGGAATGGCGCCGAACCTGACCAAAAGCCTCGGAAGGTCCCGAAGCGGGTGGCGCATGGGGCGGACGTTGCTCTTAGGGCTGCTTTTGAAACATTGATTCTCCGAGATGGAATCTGAGCCGTAGACTCGAACCCACTGCAAGATGCAACCGACCCGACATGTGAGTGCAGCAACCACAGAATTCGTAATGACAGGCACGAGCTTATTGGCAGGTCTATCATTCATATCAACGCTTGCAGTTACAGTTGCAGTAGCAGGTGGCCCTTCTCCTACACCTGCTCCTGCTCCTTCATCCATCCCCCTTCTCTGCTGCAAGCGGTGCTGCAGCAGCCTCTTCCTGGCCACCAAAATAGCTGCCCTCTCTACCTGCACCTTGCTCGCAGTGTTCCCATCATGGAAATATAGCCCTGCATCCTTCCAGTGCTCTGGTTGAGATAAGACTGTGGTGACAGCAAGGGCGAAATCGGTCGCATCGACACCAGTCATGTGCATACCCTTGGGAGCACTGCTGTTCCCAGTGCTGCTGCCAGAACTGCTGACGCTGCAACTGTTGCTTCTGCTGCCACCGCCACCAATGGTGCTGCTGCTGCTGCTGCCCCCCTCACTGCAGTGGCTGCACCTGAACTCCCTCCCATTCCCCCCTCCATGCTCCAGAATCCAAGCCATGCCATCCACATACCTCTCCCACACACGCCCTTTCAGACGCTCCCGCGAACGTGAGTCCTTTGTAACCCTCGCGCACTTGCTAGCAACCCCGTCAATCTCTAACTTGCACTCGACAGCCTTCTCCGCAGCTCTCCCCCTCCCCTTTCCCTCCCCATGCACCTCCTCAGCAGCCTTCTCCTCAGCTCCCCCCATCCCTCCTCCCTCAGCATGCGCCTTCTCCAGCCTGCCTGACAGCACATGCTGCACGTAGAACCCAAACCCTTCCTTCAAATCAGCACTCTCCTTCAACCCCAGCACCTGCACCAGCATGGACGCAAAATTGTCACTCTCTCTCTGCCTGCTCGCCCCCAGCTCAGCAGCGATTACTGGCCACGCAGAAGAATGCACGTCCAAGTGAGCTTTCCACAGAGTCACAAGACGGGAAGATTTCTCTACAAGAACGAGGAACGTCGAGAAGCTGACAGCACGGTGGTAGGCAGCCCAGCAGCTGCTGCAGCGCCAGCAGCAGGACCACGCTGCAGCAGCAGCAGGGGCAGGAGGAGCAGCAGGAACAGCAGGGGCAGCAGCATCGGCAGCAACAGGGGCAGCAGGAGCAGGAGATGAGACATCAGCAGCTGGTGCAGCTGTTGTAAAATACAAAATAGTAGGCAGGCGAAATCTGATTTTCGCCAGGTCCATGAGCACACCCACACAGGGCTCAGCCATCCACTCGAGAAGCATGGCTTCCGCACAAAGGCGAGGCGCCATCCCTGGCTTCCCCGCGGACTGACTCTGATGGGAAGCTCCATTTTTCTCTCGTACAGCCTGCTCCAATACCACTTGAACGGACTCAAAAGCGGCCTGATTGAGCTGCTGCTGCTCCTTGGCAGCTGCGCGGATGGAACGAGGCTGCAGCTTGCGTAGGTGGCAACGCAACTCCTCAAGGTTCTTAATCGCAAGAGCTCGCTGTGCTCGCTAGCTCACTGCCTGGTCAAAGCAGCATGCGCACAGATCCTCATCCCACCCGCCCGTCACGTCTAAGTAGTGAATCATGTCGGCATGAGACAGCACCTGGCGCGGCTTTGGACTGTCCTCTGTCCTTGCTTCTTCTGCTGCCCCTCCACTTGCCTCATCGAGCTGACCTGGTTCACTCTGGTCGATCTGAACCATGTCCGCATGAGACAGCAGCTGATGCGACTTTGGACTACTGGCCTCCGCCCTTGCTTCCTCTGCTGCCCCTCCGTTGGCCTCGCCAGGCTGACCTGGTGCAACTTGATCAATCTGGACTCCAGAACTTACTAGTTCCCTCTGTAGCACCTTAAGAGTTGCCAAGTGTTCTTCCAATTCCTTAACGGACCGTAACAAGCTTGTCGTTCCACCAGCAACTGCCTCCTCCTTTTTCGCTTCCACTTGCTGTGCTTCCCCACCGGCTGCTGCAGTTAACTGTACCAGTCGAGCACTCTCGTTCTTGATTGTCAAGCACAACGCCTCCACAATCTCGGACTGCTCTTTCAACTTCTGAGAAGTCTCTGCCAAGGGTTCAATGCTCACTATGACCCCCTCATTCCCTTCCTTGCTACCGCCAGCACTAGAATCAAGGCACTTCAGCCCTGCTCCGACCGTCCCTGACAGGACTCTTTTCTCCGGCTTTTGCCCCTCCTCCCTCTTGCTGCTGCCAGCATCAGAATCAATGCACTTCAGCCCTACTCCGTCCACCCCTGGTGAAGCTTCTCTCCTCGGTTTGTGCCCTTCGCCTTCCATGCAGCTCGGCTCAAGAGGGTCCAATTGGATGGTAAAAGCAGCAGCAGTTGCAACAGCAGGATTTGTAGGAGGAGGAAGCGAACCAGAAACAGCGGTTGCAGCAGCATGATTAGTAGGAGGAGGAAGCGAACCAGAAACAGCAGTTGCAGCAGCAGCATTAGTAGGAGGAGGAAGCGAACCAGAAACAGCAGTTGCAGCAGCAGGATGAGTAGGAGGAGGAAGCGAACCAGAAACAGCAGTTGCAGCAGCAAGATTAGGAGGAGGAAGCGAACCAGAAACAGCGTTTGCAGCAGCATGATTAGTAGGAGGAGGAAGCGAACCAGAAACAGCAGTTGCAGATGCACGAGTTGGAAGATTTCCCAATTTCTCGACTTTCTCTACAGCCTTCTTCCTTCGATTTTTCAAGGACGCCACATTGATAGTTGCACCCGCCCTAAGCCTGGCTTGCTCAACGGTCAAGTCAGGAGAAAGGCACACTTGCTGCCCAACAGCCATGAAACGAACTTCCTGCTTCCGATTTGCCAAGTCCTTATCAACCGCTGTCAACCCATCTTGACCTCCCTGCTGCTGACGTGCCTCGCATGGTAGGCAGCAGTTGGGCAGGTGGGACTGAAACAGTCGGTTGAAAACTGATGACAAAAGCTCGTCAGGAGCAACAAGTGAAACACCCATGTGTGACGCCGATGGTTTGGTTCCAGAGCAACTGCCACTTCTAATATGATCGCAAGATCCACGGTCCACGAGACAAGGTGGGATTCTGAAGGTGACCTCAAAAGCCATGTCAGATGTTGCAGGACCGTTCTCCAAGGTGCTCACCATCATGGGAAGCCGCAACAAACGTACATCTTTCGCAGCACCTTCCTCCACATCCTTTTCCTTGCTACTGCCAGCATCAGAATCACGGCACCTCAGCACTGCTCCGCCAATCCCTGACAAGACTCCTCTCTTCGGCTTGGTACCTTCGTCATCCTTGCTGCTAGGGTTGATAGGGACCAATCCGCTGGGCAAAACAGCAAGCGTAGCAGCAGAATTCGAAAGAGGAAGATTAGAATGAAGTACACCACTAGCAGATTCAGCACCAGGAGCTTTCCCGATCTGCTCAACTTCCACCTCGCCCTGATCCCGTCGTTTCCCATGCACTTTTCTCAATGAAGCCACGTTGATAGTTGCACACGCGCTAAGCTTGGCTTGCTCAATGGTTAAGTCAGGAGAAAGGCACACTTGCCGCCCAACAGCCATGAAACGAACCTCCTGCTTCCGAATTTCAAATTTTTGCTCCACCGATTTCACCCCACCCTGTCCCTGCTGCTGGGAGGAACAGTGAGAGAGACCGCCACTTGCCTTGCAGTCGGCTTACTCCCGAAGCTATTGCTACTCAAAATCTTGTCGCGATCCGTGACGGATCCAGCGGTCCCGCCATTTCCATTCGTACGGCCGTTAGATCCACAGTTGCTCAAACCAGCTGGGATTCTGAAAAAAACCTCGAAAGCCATGTCGGATGCTGCAAGATTCTTATTGAATTCGCTTATGATCGGTTAAAGCCAACCACTGCCTTGAATTTATATCCGGCGCTTTCACTGTAGACGGAGAGGCCCATAATAGTACTATCTCGCTGTCGATGACTGAAGCCCACCGAGACTCGTAATCATTGAGCAAGCTGAATCTACAAGACCATCAGCACATTGTTTCATCCGTTTCACGAGGAACGCTTTCATCCGTTGGACGCTTTTCGATACAGGCGACGATATGATGGGTTCCCATTGCCTGAGTCAAGAGAGGCTTTTTTAACTGTGACTATCGTCTTGGGAGAGCTCGCCTTGGGAGAGCATGAGACCATCCCATCAGATTCAATCGTATAGGGGTGGATCAGTACTTGGCGGTCCATTCTGATCGCATAACCTGCTTCTGCCATCCCAGAACCGTCGATGCGTTGCCTGAACACGTTGGATCTTGCCATGGAACGAATCAACCTGTCCAATCAGACACGTGACTGGAAAAGCGCAATCGGACCGTCGTTTCCGGACAAGTCTCGGGAATGATACCCGACGAGGGGCCTGCTGATGTAACCTAAATCGTCTCGAGAGGACCTAGATTGTTGTTCTGGGACCAGCTGATATTGCCATACAATCCTGAAACACATTTCTGTGATGAGAGTGACTGGTCGAAGCCCGAAGGTTGGATTTCACATTCCAGGTGTTGGCGAAGAGATTTCTTCGGCAATTTGCGCTGGGCGAAAGCAAGCGAAGTGGCGAGGGACTTCAGCGATCGCCACAAATAAATCGTAGGGCTCGTTTGAGACAATTGATGCCACCAAAACGTACACATATTGTGTATGTATATCAGGCTCATAACAAGTTCATTATAATAAAACTACAACTATAAACTTTAAAACGAAACATGTGAATGATACAGCAAAACAATAACATTATTCAACACATTGCCGTTTCAAAACAATATTTTCAAACCAAGTGTTACCAAACTCCGGCTCAATCGTATCATCATCTATCTCACCGTATCAAGCATGGGGCATGGTGTAACAACATATCAGATGGTCGTGGGAGTGAGAGAGTGTTGGTCCCTGAAGGTGCGACATCAGATGGTGGGTGGTTCAGGTAATGTAGGAGGGAGGGAGAGGTGCTGGCTGAAGTCGCAAAGGCTATGGTGTTGTTCCTTGAGTGGGATAATTGAGGTGCCGATGGGAGGGTGATGGCCGGCAGAGGACTCGAGACGAGGAGACACGTGGTGAATATCAAGAAAGGGGGCGGGGGGGAGAGTTGAAAGAGGGTGCGATGGGCCGAAGATTTGGCCACGGGAAGATGGGCATCATTCAGCCACGCGTCATTCAACCTCTCATAGATCAGCCTCTAGCATTTCACGACGAGAGAAAAACTATAGCACTGCTGAATCATCTGATAGTCGCCTGAGAGCATGGCCCTAAGAGTCGGCAACTGGGAAGTGGGCAGACAGATGGCGTCAGGCATTGGCGGTGTGTGTGAGAGCCATTTTATAAGGCCATGCTATGCAGCATGAATGTTGTGCCAAAGGCGAAGGGTGAGAGGCATAAGCAGTAGCTATCCAAGCATCATGGTGAACATAATACTCACTCGCGTGTCACGGCTCGTGGTGCATAGCGGACCCTGATTTATTTTCCACGATTCATGGCTTCTAGGGCCCATGAATTATGGAGTCCAGATTCTGGTCTAGATTGCCCACACCATTTAACATTCCTCCACTTTCACGCCTCTCCGCTGTCACGCCTCTCCCATTTAACATTCCTCCACTTTCACGCCTCTCTGCTTTCACGCCTCTCCCATTTAAAATTCCTCCACTTTCATACCTCTCCGCTTTCACGCCTCTCCACTTTCACGCCTGACCTGTCACCTCCCTGACAGAGCAATTCCTTGAGGAGGGCACTCAGCTGCCTGCAGGTTCCCCATGAACAGTGTGCCCAAGTTGTAGGGCGGGAAAGAGCACCAGAAATCAGCGCAGGAGAAACAGGTGCGGCGCTGGTGGAGGGAGGGGTGCAGGGGGAAAAAAAAGAGGGCAATGGGCAGCGAACGAGAAGGTGCGTTGCCGCCTGGCAAGGAGTGCTGCACCTAGGAGCCCGCGGATTCTCGCTTGAAAAGTGCGCCCAAGTTGCAGGGGCGGAAATTCATGAGCCACGAATGGGTGCAAGAGTAGCACGTGCGGCACGGAAATGGTGGAAAGACATGGACTGAGTTGGAGGAGGTGGGAATGGGAGAGTAAGCGGGTGGCATTGGCTGTCACACCATAGGGGTAGGGGTGAGAAGTTGTGCAGGCTTGGCATGGGAGAAACAGGTGCAGAGCTGGGAGGGGTGGGGAAGGAAGGGGCGGAAGGAAAGGGTATGGGGATGGGGATAGAGACGGGGATGGGGATGTGAAAGTAGGAAACTGAACCAATGACTAGATTAGAGGAGAAACAAGCCTACACAGGTTGGATGAGAAGCTTGGAAAGGGAAAGGTTGGGTTGGCCATAGGTTGGGTTGGCCATAGGTTAGGTTGGCCTCACTTTGGGAAGTGAGGCAACCTTAGGCCAAGTGGGTTGGGTTGCCCACACTTAGTGGGGAGTGAGGCAACCTCAGGCCCACTTGGGTTGGGTTGGCCTCACTTTTGGGAAGTGAGGCAACCTTAGGCCAAGTGGGTTGCATTTGGGGGCTCCACCACAATTGGGTGGATTGGCACCCCAATGCAAGTCTACACCCAATGTTGGGTGTAGTCCCAACCCAACTGCACACCACAATTGGTGTACAGTCACAAGTGTTAGCATGCTAGAACATATAATTCTAACACAACCCCTTAGCATGCTAACACAAGAAGAGAACAACCCCTGAATCAAGGGGCGCCCTGGCGAGCAAGGCCAATGAGATGGAGAAGAGCAGAGTGTGCTGGGCGAAGGAGGGCCTTGGTGAAGATGTCGGCCAAGTTGGCCTCAGTCGCAATCTTCCGCACAGCAATGAGGCCTTGCTGGACGAGCTTGCGGATGAAGAAGTAGCGGAGCTCGATGTGCTTGGAGTGGGCGTGGTAGACGAGGTCTTGGGTGAGGTGGATGGTGCTGGCATTGTCATACCAGAGAGTGGGGCAGGGCTGTGGGGCGCCAAGTTCTGCAAGAAGAAAGCAGAGCCAGCGAGACTCCTGGGCGGCCATGGTGCTAGCATAGAGCTCAGCCTCGCAGGTGGAGAGAGAAATGGCAGAGGAGCGAGTGGAGCGCCAGCTGATGAGGCCACTGCTAAGGGTGAAACCGTAGCCCTGGGAGGAATGGCGGTCCGGCTGGCAGTCAGCTCAGGAGGAATCACTAAAGCCCGAGAGGAGGGGAGGAGAGGGGCCGCCAAGGGTGAGGACATGGTCCTTGGTTCCGCGAAGGTAGCGGAGGACCCGCTTGGCAGCTTTCCAATGCTCCTCAGTGTGACGACCGGTGCCAACGTAGCGTGCGAGCACGCTGATGGGGTAGGCGAGGTCGGGGCGGGTGCACATCATCGCGTACATTAGCGATCCAACAAGCTCGACGAGTGAGGGGAGGAGGAGGGAGAAGTGGGAGGGGCGAGCTGGTGGCCGAAAGGGAGGGGGGTGGACACGTGCTTGGCCTGCACCATCTCGAACTTCTCCAAGACTTGGCCGATGTAATGGGATTGGGAGGGAGTGATGGTGCGAGCAGGGCGGTTGCGCGTGATGGTCATGCCCAGGTAGTGTGTGAGATCGCCCAAGTAGTGTGTGAGATCACCCAGGTCCTTGCATTTGAGACGCTGCTGCAGAGACAACTTCATCTGCGACATGTCATCTTTGGAGTCAAAAAGAAGGATCATGCCATCCACGTACACCAGAATGAAAGAAGCGGAGAGGGGAGGAGCGAATCAAGAGGCTGGCGTCGGAGTACGAAGCAGAGAAGCCGAGGGACCCCAAGGTGCCTGCTTCAAACCACAGACAGGGCGACACAGTTGCCACACAGTGTTCTCATGAAAGGCCGCGTGAAACCCAGGGGGCCGCCGAAGGAAAATGCGCTCGTGCAGGTCACCCTATAGGAACGCGTTGGAGACGTCCATGGAACAAATATCCATGTTGTCACACGCACCAACATCAAGGGCCGTGCGAAGGGTGGGTGTTTTGGCGGTGGGGGCATAGGTGAACCAGTAATCTTCGGCCCAAGTCTGCGTGAAGCTCGTGGCGCAGTAGCGTGCCTTGTAGACTGGCTCCTCACGTGGCAGCTGCTTCACCCGAAAGACCCATTTGCCCTTGTCTAGGTTGGCGCCAGCTGGGAGGGGGACATCAACAAAGGAGTCATTGCGAATGAATGCCTTACACTCCAGGAAGATTGCCGCTACCCATTTATCCACATTAGGGCATGTGATGGCTTCCTAGAAGGTGGAGGGAGTGAAGATGGTGGGGGTGGTGGTGGCGCTAAGGACGGGAAAGCCCAGGAAGTCAAGGTAGAGGGAGGCAAGGAACGGAGTGTGCTCCTAAATGTTGAGGAACTCCTCATGGGAGTCCTTAAGGAGCTGAATGGAGGTAGGAGGAGAAGCCCCAAGGATTTGATCCATGGAGCGGGTATGCATGCGAGGGAGGAGGAAGGGGGAGGAGCAGAAAGTGGCACAGCACCGGTGCTGCTGCTGGTGCTGCTGCTGCCCCTGCAGTTGCTGCTGCTGCTGGTGCCCCTGTTGCTGCTGTTGTTGTTGCTGCTGTTGCCCCTCCTGCTGCTGTTGCTGCGGCTGCTGCTACTGTTGGTGCTGCCCCTGCAGTTGCTGCTGCTGCTACTGCCCCAGCCAATGCCGTTGCTACGGATCCGGCTGCTGTAGAGGGGGAGAAGGAGAGGAGGAGGGAGAAGGGGGAGGGGGTGCAGCTGAGTGCGCTGGGGAGGCAGGTGCGGCAGGGTCGTAGACGTCGGCTGAGGAAGAAGGCGGGAGCGGGGCGGCGACAGGTGGGAGGAGAGGCGCGGGAGGGAGAAGAGGGGGGAGGACGGTGTCGGTCCAAGCGAGGGGGCGAGTGGGAGGAGGAAGAGGGTCAGGAGGAGGAGTGGAGTAGTAGGGGATGGATTCGTCGAAGACAATGTCAACGCTGCGGATGAGGCAGTTGGTGGGAGGGTGGAGGAACAGGTAGCCTGGGGAATCGCGATTGTGCCCGAGGTAGACGCACTCCAGAGCACGAGGGGGGAGCTTGCCAGCAGCACGGGAGAGATCGGCCGGTGGAATGAGGACGAACGCCTTGCAGCCCCACACATGAAGGCTGGCAGCGTCAGGCTGGGCCTTAGTTCTGTGGGGGAGGAAGATGAGAGCTGAGGGTGGGAGCGGAGATTGAGTAGGAGGGCAGCATGGAGGAGGGCATAGCTCCAGAGGGAAGGAAGGGTGGAGGCATGAGCAATGAGACAGCGAGCTATCTTGGTGATCCCACGAATGTGGCTCTCAGCAATGCCATTTTGCTGAGGGGAGTGGGGAAGAGTGGAGGTCTATTGGATGCCGTAGGTTTTGCAGTATATGGCGAGAGTGTTATTGATGAACTCACCCCCACCGTCAGAGTGAAGGCGGCCAATGGGGCGTTTAAAGTGATTGCGGCACAACTCGGCCCAGTCGATGACCACTGTCGGCACCTGATCTTTCGTGTGAAGAATGAAGGTGGTGGAGTACCGGCTGTGGTCGTCAATGAGGACAAGCATGTAGCGATGCCCTTAACGGGAGCGGATGGGGAAGGGGCCCCAGAGATCCATGTGAACAAGGTCAATGGGGGTAGCGGCAAAGGTGGGATGGCTGTGATGGGGAGACTGTTTGAGTTTGCTCTGGATGCATGATGGGCACGGGGGAGCAGAGGAGGAGGGGAGGGGAGGTAATGTGGGAGGAAGGCTGTTAAGGAGGCGAGAGGTGACTGTGGTGCAGAGTGCAGCGAAGTTGGGATGGCCGAGTCTGTGATGCAAGAGAACTACTGGGTAGGAGAGGGCTGTAGAGGAGGGGGATGGGGTGGGAGAGGAGGCGGGGGAGGAGGATACCTGAGGGGGAGGGGGAGGGGGACCGGTGGAAGTACCAGCACGAGTAGTGACATGACAGAAAGATGGACGAGGCGTGCGAAGCATGTAAAGGCGAGTGTGAGGGCAAAGGGGAATGCGAAGGAGGAAGCGACCAGTACGTAGAGATCACAGTACGTAGCTAAACCAGGGTATATGGTGGTAGTAATACCAACACCTTGGAGCTCATGGTGGGAGAGAAGGTTGTTGCGAAGGGTAGGGATGTGGAGATCTGTGACCTTACCAGATGGGAAAGCGGTGCAAGGGAGGGTGGAAAGATGAGTGCAGGGGATGGAAAAGCTAGAGTCAGCACCATGAACCTGGGTGGGAAGTGGTAGGGGGGTGAGGGTGCCAGCGTCTTTGAGTGCACTTTCCGTGGCCCCACTGTCAAGGACAAAATCCAGGGTGGGGAAGGAAGGAGGGGGAGGTGGCACGGGGTACTGGAAGCGACGGAAGGTGCAACATCAATATGATCGAGGAAACTACCCTGAGTGTCAGGGACACTGGGGGGGGGAGAAGGGAGGTAACCCCAGGGGGGGGGAGCAAGGGAAGCATGGGCGGCCATGGCCGCTGTGCCGAAGGCCATTGGCTGCTGCTGCCACTGCGGCTGCAGGAACTGCTGCTGCTGCTGCTGGAAGTACTGCTGCGGCAGCTGCAGCTGCGGCTGGAGGAACTGCAGAGGCTGCTGCTGCTGGAAGTACTGCTGCTGCTGCTGGTGTTGCTGGAACTGCTACAGCTGGGAAGGGGGGAGGGGGTGAGCAGGCGGAGGTGAGCAGGGAGGAAGGAGGGAAGAGTCTGAACGTCCTCCATGGTGGGGCGAGGAGTGACAGTGCCCCAGCAAGGGGGAGTGCCAGTGTTGCCACGGTCAAACCAGGCGTCATCGAGCGCCTTGAAGCAGGTGGTAGGAGGGTGGTTGGCCTGAACACAGGGTGTGTCGGCATTGGGTCCATGGCAGCGAACGTACGTGCAGGGGGGGAGAGTCCCCGGGCGACCACCACGAACGACAGCACCACCGGCACCAAAGGGACCTCCAGGAGTGGTACTGCCAGCACCACCACCACCACCACCACGGCCACCACCACCACCGCCGCCCCCTCCACGACCACCTCCTCCGCCGTTGCGGCCACGTGGGTTGCGCGGCTGGGTGGCATTGAGGGAGAGGGGGGAGGAGGACTGAGGGGTGGTGAGGTTGACAATGGGAGTGCGGAGCTTGACCTCCGTATCATTGATCCACTGGACCACCGGGTCGAGGCCAGCAAGGGGGTGTGCCTCAGTGAAGGCGTGCAGACGGGACTCATAGTCCCGCGTGAGGTTGAAGAGCAGGCGGTGGATGTGCAGCGGCTCAGGGAGGACGCACTGACAGACGGCAAGGCAATCAGCGACTTCCTGCATGCGCGCGACGTAGTCGACTGCGCCGTCACAGGTAGCGAGGGTGATGGATAAGTACTCCTGGAGGAGAACGCCGGCAGAGCTGATGTCGCGACGCTCAAACATTGACAGGAGTTCAGCCCAGATTAGGGAGGCTCGCATTTCACGGGCTTGGAAACGGCGCATGAGGGCGTCGGGGAGTGCACCAAGGAGGATGGTGGAGGCGCGGTTGTCGGCAGCGGCCCAGGCGATGCTGTTGGGGATATGGAGCGCCATGGCCGTGTTGTAGGTGTGAAGCAAAGCCTAACGAGTGGCACGCTCTGTCGTTGCGAACTCGTAGTTGTGCACAGCAACCTCATGAGCGGCCCTGCGAACGAGGTACTCGCGGCGGTTGTGGATGAAGGTGGTGGCGGCGGCAGCTTGAAGGTCAGAGGTGGAGGCCCTGACCAGCTCACGCTCGGAAGGAGGAGAGCCAGAAGGGTCGGGGAGAGGAGGGAGGTCTCCAGGGTGATTTGTTAGTGTTGGCTGGAGAGCATGCACGCGGCAGAGGAGGACGTCAAGGATGCAGTAGGGTCCGATGAAAGCATCCTGGAGGACACGGCGGATGCTGCCTACAAACGAGTGCCAATTGACAGCTGAGCGATCTGCAGCAAGCTGCAACTTTTCGACTGAGGAGGCGTCGATGGGAGGAGGGAGGGGGGCAGGAGGATTGGTAGCCACGAGGGGGCGACGGCGGGTGGACCCTTGGTAGCCACGAGGGAGACGGCGGTGGGTGGACTCGCGGCAGTCAAGGGGGGGGGGCGACGGCGGGTGGACCCGCGGCGGCCGTGTGGAGGGAGAGGGAAGTTGCCCGGCTGAAGTTGCCCTGCTGCTACTACTGCTGCTGCCTCTGCTGCTGCTGCCGCCCCTGCAGTTGCTACTGCTGCTGCTGCCCCTGCCAATGCTGGTGCTGCGGCCCCCGCTGTTGCTGCTGCTACTGAGGTTGCCCGACCCACTGAAGTTGCCCGACTGAAGTTGCCCGACTGAAGTTGCCCGACTGGAGTTGCCCGACTGATGTTGCACCGCTGAAGTTGCCCAACTGAAGTTGCCCGACTGAAGTTGCCCGACTAAAGTTGCCTGACTGAAGTTGCTACACTGAAGTTGCCCGACAGAAGTTGCCCAGCTCTTGTTGCCCGACTGAAGTTGCCCGGCTGAAGTTGCCTGGCTCAAGTTGCCCGACTGAAGTTGCCCGACTGAAGTTGCCCGGATGAAGTTGCCTGACTGAAGTTGCCCGACTGAAGTTGCCTGACTAAAGTTGCCCGGCTGAAGTTGCTCGACTGAAGTTGCCCGACTGAAGTTGCCCGGCTGAAGTTGCCCGACTGAAGTTGCCCGACTGAAGTTGCCCGTATGAAGTTGCACGACTGAAGTTGCCCGACTGAAGTTGCCCCGATGAAGTTGCCCGACTGAAGTTGCCCGACTGAAGTTGCCCGACTGAAGTTGCCCGGCTGAAGTTGCCCGACTGAAGTTGCCCGACTGAAGTTGCCTGGATGAAGTTGCCCGACTAAAGTTGCCCGACTGAAATTGCCCGGCTGAAGTTGCCCGACTGAAGTTGCCCGGCTGAAGTTGCTCGGCTGTTGTTGCCCGACTGAAGTTGCCCGGCTGAAGTTGCCCGGCTGAAGTTGCCTGACTGAAGTTGCTCGGCTGAAGTTGCTCGGATGAAGTTGCCCGACTGAAGTTGCCCGACTGAAGTTGTCCGACTGAAGTTGCCGGACTGAAGTTGCCCTGGATGAAGTTGTCCGACTGAAGTTGGCCGACTGAAGTTGCCCGGCTGAAGTTGCCCGACTGAAGTTGTCCGACTGAAGTTGCCCGACTGAAGTTGCCCGGATGAAGTTGCTCGACTAAAGTTGCCCGACTGAAGTTGCCCGGCTGAAGTTGCTGCTGCGGCTGTTGCTGCTGTTGCTACTACACTCCGTCTACTGCTGCCGCTGCTGCAGTTGCGCTCCACCGGCCGCTGCTGCTGCTGCTGTAGTTGCGCTCCGCGGCGGCGACTAGGGTGGTAATGGCGGTGGGAGGGGCAGGCGGCAACGAAAAGGTCGCGGCGGCGGGAACCGCGGGCGGCGACGCGAAGTTACGTCGGCGGGATGGGCCTACGGAGATAACTACTACAACGGGAGCTAGACTACGGGCTAGGCACCGGTGCTCATGTGATCTCTGTGTTCGTTGGTCCTTAGTCGTTTTCCTAGTGCTCACATTGGTTGCTAGTTCACGGGGCAATTTGGCAAGAGTTTCACTAAGAAAGTAGACAAGAATGATGCAATCAGGTTTGCAAGACAAGACTACATCAGAGCTAGCATTCAGGTCGGTCGACTGCCAGCGCAGCATGGTCGACCGCGTTCCGTCAGTGCAAAGTCGACGGCGTGCCAACGCTGCAGGTCGACGGCGTGTGGATGCTGCAGGTCGACGGCGTGCCAGCGTTGCTCCCGCAGAACAGCAGCGCACCAGCTACGCAGGTGCTCGCAGATGATTGCCGGACTAAGCCTCGTCACCTGCACAACGCACACACCAAGTCATCCTCGTGCTGACTACTCCACCTGATCCGCCACGTCGACCTCGGGATACCACCACCGAGGTCAGTCTCGCCAACATCGCCTGGGCGACTGTCACACTCTTCCGCAGAACCTCGTCACCCAGGTAACCTGGTCGACCGGGCAACCACGTCGACCAGGTGCTCCTGTATGTGCCTGTCGACCTTCCAAGTCGACGGCCACCTCCATTCGACCTCACCAGGTCGACCACACCCCTGGTCGACCAGCTCCAGGTCGACGTCACTCCTGGTCGACCAGCTCCACGTCGACCAACACAGTCGTCAGCCGATCACCCAAGTCGGCTACCAGAAGTCGGCGTCACCAAGTCGGCGGCGACTTCCGGGCCGACCTCTTAAAGTCGGCGACCTTGCAAGTCGGTGCCGACTTCTAGGTCGACGTGCCACATCGCCGACCACCAGTTGAAGTCGACCGCCGACTTCCCAAGTCGGCGACATTGCAGTGGCCCCGTGCAAGTTGACCAACCCCGTCGACCAGCTCGCCCAAGTCAGCGTCGCCCACTGTTGCAAGTCAGTTGTACCTCCCGTACACCCAACCACGAAGTCGGCTCCGCCCAAGCAAGGACGGGGCCAACAACAACTCCCGTTGATAGGGTCGAGGGCGATGTGGCAGTTGTAGCGACGTGAAGGGAAGGCGGCTACGAGGCAGTTGCGGCGGCAGGGTAGGCGGCGACGAGTTGGTCGCAGCCGGGAGAGTTGACGGCGGCGAGGCGGCCGCGGCGGTAAAATCCGTGGGCGGGGAAGGCGCAATCGCGGCGGGGAGGTAGGATGGCGGCGATGAGTTAGGTCGCGGCGGGAAAGGAGGCGACGGCATAAAATGCGGCCGCTGGGAGGGAAGGCGGCGACGCGACGGTCGCGGCGAGATGTGTGCGAGCGGTGGCTAGGAGAGCCACGGTGGCAACGGTGTTTTAACTGTAGGGTGGGCACATGGAATGGATAAACTGGAAGGGGGGAGAGGTAAAGCCAAGGAATTTTGTAGCTCTATGCCATGTGAAAGTAGGAAACCGAACCAATGACTAGATTAGAGGAGAAACAAGCATACATAGGTTGGATGAGAAGCTTGGAAAGGGAAAAGTTGGGTTGGCCATAGGTTGGGTTGGCCTCACTTTGGGAAGTGAGGCAACCTTAGGCCAAGTGGGTTGGGTTGCCCACACTTTGTGGGAAGTGAGGCAACCTCAGGCCCACTTAGGTTTGGTCGGCCTCACTTTAGGGAAGTGAGGCAACCTTAGGCCAAGTGGGTTGGGTTGCCCACACTTTGTGGGAAGTGAGGCAACCTCAGGCCCACTTGGGTTGGGTTGGCCTCACTTTTGGGAGGTGAGGCAACCTTAGGCCAAGTGGGTTGCATTTAGGGGCTCCACCACAATTGGGTGGATTGGCACCCCAATGCAAGTCTACACCCAAAGTTGGGTGTAGTCCCAACCGAACTGCACACCACAAATGGTGCACAGTCACAAGTGTTAGCATGCTAGAACATAAAATTCTAACAAGGGATGGGGATGGGGACGAGGATGGGGATGGGGATGGGGATGGGGATGGGGATGTTGACGGGGACGGGGATGGGGATGGGGACGGGGCTGGGGATGGGGATGGGTATGCTGACGCGGAAGACAATGAGGGAAGAGGACGGGAGAGGGGATGCGACAGAGGATGGGAATGGGGATGAGAATTGGAATGGGGATGGGAATGGGAATGGGGATGGGAATGGGAATGGGGATGGGGATGGAAATGGGGATGGGAATGGGGATGGGAATGGGGATGGGAATGGGGATGGTAATGGGGAAGGAAATGGGGATGGGAATGGGGGACAGTGAGACAGAGTGACAGTTGATATGCACTTCTGGAGGTTGACCACAAGAAGAGGGGGCATTAGTAAATGATAAATGGGATTGGTGATGCATAGCATTGGACACCATATGTCCCACGTTGCCAGCTTGGATAATACCATGGCATTCGCACAGTGGAGTATGGGGAGAGCCGCGGCAAGTACACCAAAACGGCTTCCGGGGGTGTGACAGGTTATCGGTTCAACGGATACACGTACAAGTGATTCGTTCTTCCCCGTATCTCTTTCACTCCTCACTTCCGTCTCACCTCGCCCTGCATGCCGCATCCAATGCACCCCTGGCAGCGTCCTTTTGCAACTGCCTCATTCTCCATGCATGTTTCCATGTCATACATTTCTGGCGTCACGTCATCCATGCCCTTTTGCCACGTCATCCATGCCCTGTTGCCACGTCATCCATGCCCTGTTGCCACGTCATCAATGCCATGTTGCCGTCATCCCTGGCCTGCCGCCCGCAACCAGGTCGGAAGGTGATGCTGGGGCAGTGATTCAAGGACGGCGTCTTAAAGCCCGCCACCACCTACTTCTATCGCCTCGGAGGCGCGGGGCCCGAATTTGCTTTCAAGACACCACCGCTGCCGGGCAAGCCCATTGATGTTGCGCTTCTGGGTGAGTAGGTCGCACTGCGATTGGCCGTGTTGTGGCATGTGAGGCGCGGGGCCTGAGTGGGCCTTCAAGACGCTGCCGCTGCCGTCCCAGCCCATTGATGTGGCGCTCGTGGGTGCATCGCTCTGTGTTTGGCTGTGTTGTGGCTTGGGGATAAGGGGAATGGGTGGGAGGGGCAGCAGGAGTTGCACCTGAGGGGGCCACTTGGAACTTCTCATGCCCCTTCTCCCCTTCTGCTCCCGCTTCTCCCCCTCCTTCTCCCCCTTCTCCCCCTTCTTCTCCCCCTTCTCCCCTTCTTCTCCCCTTCTTATCCCGCTTCTCCCCCTTCATCTCCTCCTTCCCCCCTTCTTCTCCCCTTTCTCCCCCTTCTTCTCCTTTTCCTCCTTCCCATTAGCCCTCATCTCCTCCCCTCCGCCCCCCTCATGCACACTGGTCGACATGGACCCAGCTGCAGCTACAGGCAGCCGCCACCACCATCACGCACCTCTCTTGCGTCCCTCACTCTTTCCCATTCCCCCCCCCCCCTTCTCCCACCATCTCCTCCCTTTCCTTCACCTCATGCATGCTGGTCGATATGGACATAGCAGCAGCGGCAGCGGCAGCAGCGGCAGCAGCAGCAGCGGCGGCAGCAGCAGTAGCGGCGGCAGCAGAAGCAGGAGCGGCAGCAGCAAGCAGCAGTAGCAGCGGCGGCAACAGCAGCAGGCAGCAGCGGCGACAGCAGCAGCAGCAGGGGCGGCAGCAGCTACCACCAACCCCACCCTCCCTCCCTTACCACCCATCCACACTGGTCGACATGGACACAGCAACAACAGCAGCCGCCACCACCATCACGCACCTCTCCTGCACGCCCCACTCTTTCCTCTACACACAAGCACTCCCCTTCCTTTGACTCTTGTCCTGCTTCTCCTCCCCCCCCCCTCCCCTTCCTCCCCCCCACCCACCACCAGCCGATATGGGCTCCGAGCCAGCAGCAGCCGCCGGGTGACTTATTGGTCGACTCAAAAGTCCCCTCCCCCTCTACCCCCTCTACCCCCTCCCTACTCCCCCACCCTTCCCCTCACCAGCCGATATAGGCTGCACGCTACTAGCACCCGCCACAATCTCGCGCCTCTCCCGCACGCCCCACTCCCTTGTGGTCTTCCCTGGGGACCTTTCCTATGCCAACGGCTACCAACCAGATTGGGAAAAGGTTTCAGTCCCTCATCCAGCCGGCGGCGTCCTCCCAACCCTGGATGACAGGCCCGGGGAACCACGAGGACGAGGTAGATGAGGGTGCACCGAGGCTGAATCCTTTCAAGGTTTACAACCTTCGCTGGCCCATGCCTGCTGCTGCCAGCGGTCGCCTTCGAACCTCTACTATTTGTTTGATAGCGGTAGCATTCATTGGGTGATGCTGTTGTGTTATTCGGACTACTCCCAAGGGTCTGCGCAGTACAAGTGGCTCCAAGTGTGTTGCGAGTCTCCTTGTGCTTGTCGTCAGTTGTTACGCCCACATGCCTGTCTCCCTGGGGTGGGTGGGTGACTATCGACGCTATGGTGGGCGGGCAAGGCATGCCAGAAGTGTGACCATGTTGGGAGTGCAGCCGTGTTAGGAGTGCGGCAATACATTTCTTTATTTTGAGGGCCATATATCGCAAGGCGGCCAAAGGGTGACGTCGTGGCTTTGCAGCGAGTTTTAAGGCGACTTTTGAGATGCGTCAAAAGTCAAATATTGACAAGGTAGACCATGTCAAAAGACCTGCATTGAGGATCCCGATTGATCCCATGGAAGAGTTACAGGCACGCTTGCCTGAGGGGTTAGGGCGCGTAACCATTTTGCATTTTTAGATTTTGACGTACCGTCCGATTATATGGAATCGAACTGTACGTTTATAACAAAACGGACTGTCCGATTTGAATGTTTGCAACTTCTGACTGTCCGAAGGCAGATGTGACACTTTTTCCACATGCTAGGGTTTCGCGATGGTTTTCCCTTCGCCATCTCAAATGTACACCATGAGAAGAAACGAGAATGACTGCACTAAGGAATGAAAGTGGTACAAATATGCAACCCTAGGAATATATACCCCATATGGGCTACCCCACTACAGCCTACACAACATTATAATTTGACACACCAGTAACTCCAGTCACAACCCATCGCAATTTTCGCCAGTTGAGTTCAGCGCTTCGGACAAACATAGGAAATGTCAAACAAGCACAAAGGTGTGAAAAACTGAACGAGAATGAATCAACTATGAATGAAGTGAGTACAAAAATGAAACCCTAATTGGGTTGTACCCCCTATGGGATACCCCACTATAGCCTACACAAATAAGTAAGCTATAAAGTTCTGACACACCCCCATAGGCAAAGTGGGGGAGAACAAGGGGTCACAAGACCAGTCAAGCAAAGCAAAGCAAAGCTCAGGGTGGATCACAAAGTCACCACACATTCCGACCGCAAGGTCAAGGGCCACAAGGCCAGTTCGCATGCAAGATCATATATAGAGATATACAAGAGTCAAGCAAGCAAGAGCAAGAGTATATATAGGTCAAGGTACAAGCAAGGTGAAGAAGTGAGCAAGTGAGGCAAGACAGGCACAAGACCCAGCTGCGTGCAGCAACGCTGATGATCACAAGGCCAAGTGCCTTGGTGAAGACATCAGCAGTGTTGGCCTCAGAGGCCACGTACGCAAGTCGCAACTGTCCACGCTGCTGCAGCTCACGAGCAAGAAAGTAGCGGAGAGCAATGTGCTTTGTCCTGTGCTCCAGTCACTGCTCTCGACACAAGGCCAGCATGGCCTTGTTGTCTACGTACAGGACTAGAGGAGAACGAGGCGGCTCTCCAAGGTCGGTCAGCAGGTAGGTGAGCCAGCGAAGCTCCTGAGCAGCCATAGCCCCGGCGTAGATCTCAGCCTCACAACTGGAGCCGAGAACAGAAGACGAGCGAGTAGCCCGCCACGAGACAGAGCCAGAACCAAGGCCGAAGGTGTAACCCTGTGACGACCGCTGTGTAGCCTGGTCGTCAGCCCAAGAAGCGTCCGCGTGCCCAGTGAGGACCACTGGACTGCGCCCTCCAAGCACTAGCCCCATGCCCGACGTACTGCACAAGTAGCGCAACACCCTCTTCGCTGCAGCCATGTGCTCTGGTCGGTGTCTCCCAAGAGCAACATAGCGTGCGAGAATGCTGAGAGGGTATGCAAGGTTAGGTCGTGTGCAGGTCATCAGGTACATGAGGCAGCCAACAAGCTCTACATACGGGCCACTCGACTCTACGGACTCATCCGAAGGCAGAGCTGAGAGCGAGTGGCGACTAGGCAGAGGAGTGGCCTGAGGCGAGGAGTACGTGAAGCCGAAGCGCTGAAGGACCTGCTGCACCATGTGTGACTAAGTCAGGGTAATGGTGCGGCGTGCTCTGTCCCGGGTGATCTGCAAGCCAAGGTAGCTGCGCAGTTCACCCAGGTCAGTGCACGTGTGTCTCTTCTGCAGCTCAGACTTCACGTAAGCGAGTCCAGCAGTGTCCGCTGTGGCAAAGACCAAGTCGTCGACGTACACGAGGATGTAGAACGGCGGCAGAGAGGTGTCGGTGCGCAGAAACAGCGACGGGTCGGCAGTAGAAGGAGCAAACCCAAGTGCCGCAAGCGTAGTCCTCAGTGTGTCGTGCCACTCACGTGGCGCCTGGCGGAGACCGTAGACTGGACGCCGGAGACTCCACTGGGTACCAGGAGGGAAAGACCCAGTGAAGCCAGGTGGGCGACGCAGCCAGATCTCCTCGTGCAGGCTGCCCTGCAAGAAAGCTGTGCTGAAGTCGAGAGAGTGCAGCTCGTAGTCACGGTGAGCAGCAACGTGCAGCAGTACCCGAAGAGTGGTCATCTTCGGGGTGGGGGAGAAGGTCTGAAAGTAGTCAACACCCTGCCGCTGACTGAAGCCACGAGCCACGTAACGCGCCTTGAAGACAGGCGGAGAACCCGGCGGCCGCTTCACCCTGAAGATCCACATGCCACTGACGATGTTCGCCCCAGGAGGGGGAACAGCGTCAACGTAGGTGCCTGTGGACTTCCAGGAAGCCATCTCTGCATCCATAGCTGCCTGCCACTGAGACGAGTAGGGACCCTCTATCGCCTCCACGTAAGAGCGCGGAGTCGGGATGTCTAGTGCATCCGGGTCTCCCTCAGGGGCTAGCAGTACAGACGCGAGATGAGGTGAAGCGGCGGCCAGACACTGGAACTCCTCCTGCCTGTCCTCAAGGACGTCCGTGCCAAGGGCACACTCACCCCCGACGGACGGAGGACAGCCAGACTCAGACTCAGCGACAAGACTAGCAGGGTAGTCTAGACGACAGCGCGCAGCAAAGTCGACGAGCTCAGTGACAAGGGCAGACGCAGCAGAAGACTCGAAAGAAGGGTCAGTGACAGCAGTAGCAAGAAGACGCGTGACAGTAGGACTGGCAGCACGAAGAGAGTCCGACTCCGGGTCGGCAAGAGCAGGAAGAGAGGAAGCAGGAGGAGAAGGCAAAGGGGCACGCAGAGGAGCAGTAGACGGACGCAGAGACATCCGGTGCGTGCCAGGGACAGGAGGAGGA